CTCTCACTCTTTCTCTCTCTCTCTCTCTCTCACTTTTGTACATCGTATTCTATTCTGTGTCAACAACTTATGGCTCAATAGGTTGATCTTTTATTTTATATGCCTCAACAATCTTATCTCTTTCCTTATGACTTTCTACCTGCTCTTTCAGCTTGTGGTAGTTCTATATGACCTCTTATCTATCAATTGTCTTCCCATGTGTTATGGCTTTAATATGCTCATCTCCAATTCTCCTTGGATCTTAAATATTGTTAGGAAATGTTCCATATGGCTTATTTCTCACAATTTCTACTAACTGACCTACCAGATTCTCCAAGTTCTTGATTGATGCTACTTGGTCTTGGATCAGAGCATCACTTCTTATCATAAAGTCTTTTAGCCTACTTTTGACCATATTAGAGTTGTTAGCTTGTTGTCTAAGCTATTGGTAATGTTGCGATGCTGCTGGAATGGTGGTTTGTGAGCTTATGGTGTTGTAGCATATGCTAACCTTGTTATTGTCCTTGAGAATAGGAAAAATTAGGATGATTCCTCCAGCCTCGAGTGTAGGTGTTTGAATATGGATTATTGTTGTCATAATTTCCTACAAAACAAGTAGGTTGAAGATTTTGCGGGCAATCATTATAAAGATGAGGGTCATTACAAATTACACATGATACAACATTAGAAATTGGTTGTTCTTGTTGCGTGCTAGGATCGATAATCAGATTAAGATACTTAATTGTATTATTCATAAAGGATATATGTGTTGCTAATGATAATATAACATCAAGCTCCAACACTCTTGCAGCTTTCTTCAGTGCAATTGATGTCTCTGTTGGCTATTGATAATTGTTATATGTCATTCCCTTTAGGATCTTATATGCTTAGTATATGTCTTGTCCAAGAGGGATCCTATGAAAGATGCATCTATTATGCCTCTAGTACCTCCACTCAACTCGTTGTAAAAGGTTTCTGTCTAGATCCATTCTGGGATGCCATGATTAAGGCATCTTCGCAATAATTTCTAGAATATTTCCTAGCTTTCATGTAATGACTTACCTTCAAATTCTAGAATGTTGTGATATTATTCCTTAGCTAAGTTTCCTTTATGGGAGGGAATAATTTGATCAAGAATTTTTCGGCCAAGTCATCTTATCTTCTAATTGAATTAGGTGGTAATGTGCTCAACCATACCTTAGCTCTATTGGTGAGATAGTAAAGGAACAACTTCAGTCTCAATGCATTAGAGGTCACTCCTTGTATCTTGAAGTTGACTGCCACATCCATGAATTTCTTAAGGTGAAGGTGACGTTCTTCACTAGGAATTCTATTGAATTGACCAATAGTTTGCAGTATATTGAATATGACTGGTTTCAACTCAAAATTGTCTATTACAACTTTAGGTTGGATGATTCTTGAGTGGATATTGTTCAATGTTGGGACTTTGTGTGCCCTAATTGGGATTTCATTTTTGCTTAGTCCTTGTCCATCAACACTGGATCCTGTTGATGCACTAAACAAAGCTAAGACTACTAAATAAGAAAGAAGCACATTGAGGATAGAGAAACTTCAATTATCAAAAGTAGATTGGGATCAATTTCCAAATATTACAACTATACCAGAATACTGGAACACTGTTATAGAAATCCTTCATTAGTAACAAGAAAACTTGATTTTATGATGGGACTGACGCCGACTATACATGTATAACCCATAAATTAATCCATATATGTCTATGCCAGACTAATTATTGAATTCAATCAAGAACAAGTTATGTGTCCTTATATGGCGTGAACCATGTCTATACCCACAACTTAAGTAGATTTCTTTAACCTGATTAATCCAGATTGCTTAAAAAGGTTTTGGATTCACCTATATGTCCATAGCACAAATTCTAAGACAATTGTTTATCCTTGTCAACAACTAATTGAAAATAAAAATAGTAGAGTTTATGCATCCATGGCTACATTACAATACGAGTACTCTAGCACCCAATCATAGAAAATTTATCTCATACTGGGAAGAAAAGAAACAATAAAGAGAGAAAAAAGACTCATTGAAACACAAATATAAATGGACAACAACGATGTTGTAGCACTACTGCCGCAACTACTCCACGCGCCACCACTCTCCATCATGTTTAGGCTTCTCATGTGACTCTCCACCTCTGAAAACAATGTTTGGATCCTCTAGAATCAATGATGTCTCTCCAAGTAATTATTTGAATTTGAATTCCTTGCAAAATTACCTTTTAATATGATCTTAATTTATTTTTTCGCCCAAACTTATAATCTTGATTGCTTGAGATAAGGATTTATTAAGATATATATTTATCTCTTCATATTTCTAGTCTTCTTATCATTTATCTTGTGCTATAGCATCTTATCTTATATTTTAATTTTAATTTCTAGTGCTTATCTTTTTACCCTTTCTATTACAACATCAAAATGCAACATTTAATTAATCGCTCTTGTGCTATAACATTGCTACGATATTAACCTGCATCAAAAACTTCAGAGACAGATAATTGATCTAGCATCAAAATTAACTCAAATATAAACATGTAACATATTTAGCATTCAAAACACATAAAGATAAGATCCGTGCAAATTTCTCATGATTATAATTTAAGCACCAAATCATCAATTATAAGCCCAAACTTAACTTTAAGTCATCTTCAATTGAAATTTGAGCTGCCAATAATTTCAAATTCTTGAATATAGGTGATCACTGCCCCCCCTCCCCTCGGCATAAAGTAGACAATCATTGATAAACACTTCCTTTGGGATCGATCTTCAAACCTTAGAATCATGTCCTTTTGTTAATTCACACCACTGTAAGTTGGGCTTCCTCTTCCTCAGAAAACAGAACCAATGAATGACACTACCCTCCATACTCACATAAGCAAGTTTAACCCTCTTATTTTCGGGTATCTCTTGCATTTGAAAATTTTTCTCTAATCTAGTAATCTAGCCCAAAGGATCCACACCATAAAAAAATTTGCATTTCAACTTTCTTAGTCCAACAACAATGTTCCTCTGTAGCGTTGCCAGTTGAACCATTTCCCTCGTTTTGGCCATCTTGTGACGAATGGGACATGTCTAAATTTGGGTTTCAAATTGACTGTCCTTGCAAAAATTCTTCCACTATTTTTTTGGACTTCTAGTCGTTCAACAAGGTTCATATTTCCTCTATTCCTTCCAAATGTCTATCATATGCTTCCAACAACGATTATTCTCATTGGTCTCTCTTGTTAACAAATTAATTGAATTTTCCATGGCTTTAACTCTTACTTCAGTTCAATGGATTCCATTCAGACAATCCGACAGGTTGAACCAGTTGATATGTCCCAAGGTATGTAATATGGATGTTGTAGTACCAAACAAATATAAATAGATAATAAAATTTAGAAACACTAGGTCTTTATTTATAAATTATTAGAGTGCAAAAGGTGAATCCTCTTCAAGGAGTATTCCACTTATCTGAGAATAAATCCTCAGCCTCTAAACTTTGTACATACAACCTTACTGCTTTCCTAATTGAGGTTTTTCCTCTCTCTCTTTTTTGGTAATAGAAAGTTTATGTGGGGTTAGACACTGGCATCCCACTAGGGTCAAAAAAGATCCTCCAACCTTTGAAGATTTTCGAGAGAGATTACATATCATTTACCAACAAAGTCCTCGTATCGGCCAGCAAAGTTTGAACCCACTCCCTTAAAGGATATAAACCAAACCCTAACTGTACCGACCTTTGTTGGAAGGTTTTTCCTCTTATTACCATCCAACAATCACACTGCCTACATAACTGCTTACGTAAGAAACTACCTATATGACTGTCTACATAATAAATTGTTTACATAATGCACAATCTAACCAATTATCCCTTCTTATTTGTGCCTTCTAGTATAAACTTTAAATGGCTTAGGATCCCAATTTCCTTGTACGTATCATTGTTGCAATACTTTGAGCAGTTCTACCCACCCGTAACAGCTAAACTATTAAATTGTAAAATGCGGGAACATCAGTCACAAATACAAAACAATACAATTTTAGATGGTTTGCTATTGAGAACAGGGCATAAGCAGAGAAAGCTAAAGAAAAATGAAATATTCTATAATAGAATGTTTTGTTGTAAAATAAACGTAGATAACTAGTAGAAAAGAATATGGAGATAAAGGAAAATAGGAGAAAACCTTGATGCTTTGTACATGTCTATATTTATAGGCTCATAAGACAAGGACGATTACAATATGATATATGACCATAATTACTTCTTTGGTGGTTACAGAATATTCAAGGGTCGTAACGGTCATGGACAGTCAACGTCATATTATTTATAACATGTTTTAATTATTTTTTATATTTTATTTTTCTTATCTAAATTGAATTTTATATTACTTTTTTTTACATAATAGATAAAATGGACCAAAACCCAAGAAGGGGGAGAACCAATGTTATAAAAATTAACCCGACTCGACCGATTTGACCGGTTGACCCGTAAATCGAACACCTAACTAGTTCAGTTTAGGTATTAGCCCGGTTATGTATTTGATCTAGTATAAAGCCGGTGAACCGATCATAAACTGGGTTCAACCGAGGCACCAATTTTTTTGGAAAACAAATTGATTTTGTGAAATTTTTGATAAAATGCTTGAAAAATACCACTAATGAAATTTGAATCTAAACCATGTAGATTATAACTTAATAGTACTTATTACTAATCTAACTCTAATTATTAACTAAAATGCTTCTAATTTTATATTTATTATATTTTATTTATATATATTTAATTTATGTAATTAAACCGATGACTCTTTAACTTAGTGCCTCGACTCAGTCAACTGGGAAAAACCATTACGAGGTATCAAACTGTTAATTGGCCCATTAAAGGTTGTAGTGACAACAAAGATTCGTTTAGAAAGAAATAATTTAAATATCTTTTAAAAATAACTATATAATAAGGAATTTTATTGAAATAATATCAAACATTACAAATGGTAAGGCATGTGAGACGACAAACATACCAATCAGCTGCTTGAGAAAAAATTCATATAGAAACTGCAAGTTGAAGGGGAACATAATTATTTCCACCTAGTGGAAGAAGAAAATAACATTGTACTAGTTCGAGGGACTCATAAATGATTCCAACAGCTGATAGTTGAAATGTCTAACATGAGACTCTTTATTGTGTTAACGTGTAGCAATTTGCATATCTTAAGGATAATCAATGCTATCAAGGTCTAACATAATGCTGGCTCTTTCTACAGTAAAAATTGATCTAGCAAGTAGAGTTGAACGGTTAGAACTTGAGGTTTTCATCTTCACTCTTTACTTCTCTGAATCATAATTTTTAAGAGACTGATGTTTCCTATTCTGCATCTTCTTCACAAGCAGAGAAGCCACTTACTCCTTGCTTACTGTCCCAATCATCTTTGTCCAATGGTGGCATTTCAAGGCTATCACGCGGTCCTGGACTAAGCCTCCTCTTGTGTTCTACAAAATTTTGTATGGAATTGTTAAATACCATCAACATCACCTTTATCGCAAACAAGTTGGAAAAAATATAAGAAATAGTTCAAAGAGAAAGATTACTTTTACGCGTAATTGCCTGTCGAGTTACTTCCAAGAATTCATCCCATTTGAATTTCCGCAGTTCACGCTTCTCTTCCTCGGGAAGCTCGAAATTGGGCTCTCTCCCACACATGAAAGCAGCCCTAAAGATAATTAAAGAGATATATTCATACCAAGTAGGTCATGGTTAACAAAATATAGTAAATGAAAACTCTGACAGTTACAAAGGACACATTATATGTCTTTAAGAGTTTATACTTTTTTCTTTAAGACATTCAAGAACCAAACAAATTATTTTCTTCTAGCAACAACAGATTTCTATAGTAGCTAGCGTGTAATACTATACATGCACGTGCAGAATTGTAAATGAGCAATCATTAGGAACCATATACGGCCTTGTCAATTTAAATGATTGTCAAACTCTCGAAAAATAAAATTAACATGTACCCATAAAAAACAAGACCCTATATAAGATCAATCATTAGGAACCATGCACATACATACATCGACATCAATATCAACATCACCTTTCTCCCAAACAAGTTAGGGCCGGCAGTTGATGAACCAATATAAAAGCAAGAACAGATTAAGGCATAGTTCACCAAAAAGATAATATATATGTAGCTTCACTACTATCTTAAGAAATAAAAGAAAATATTTCTTCAAATTGTTTTATTCCCTAAGACTAAAGAATGTTTATCCGGAGGCAGTCACCCCACCTCAAACCTAACACCAAAGACAAAATTATGCAAGAAAAAAATCACACTCAGAAGTAATAAAAAGGGGGCAACCAAGAAAGTAGGTGCATTACAAATTCAAAGTAGGTTTTTCTTTTTTTGTGTACAGAATTCAATCCAGTATAACTGTAGTTAATAAAGGTCTAAAATACATGATTATAACGAAAAAGATTATATGTTAGGATATGGTAGAAAGAAGGGCTAAAGAATAAAAAACAGATAACCCAAAATGTATAAAGTATAAGGTTGTTGGCACTCAATCAATGAGAATAGAAGCAGGTAAATTGGCAGCTTATCAAACCCAACTGATAGTTATGCATATTCTCCCTATGACTTGGAGTTATCAAAAGGGATTATTGTTGGTAATAACATTCTACAAATCAAAGTACTACCTGTCATATAAGTGAGCAGCATCTTCTTGTGACCCAACAGTCCCTAGGTGGATCTGTTTCTTGTCCACTTTTATTGCTGCCTGCCACTTCATATTTTTGAAGTAGACACCTCTCATCAAACATGGTTCTTGATTGTGCAAATTTTTTCTTCTATGTCGCTTTCTACGTTTAATAGGAGGTCCTGCTAAATGCAGGGTTAAATAAATAGTAAACAGACAAATAAAGACAGAGAGCTAACAGAAAATCAATGCTAACCGAGAACAGAGAATCAGAAAAGTAAACTCTACATGTGTGTCAACTGAATTTTATATGCTTGTGCGCGAACTAAATTTCAGTTACAAACTTTTCTTTGTTCAGTTTCCTTCTGACAATTTATCGATGATGCACTGCATGATAGCAAGAACCATGGGCTATCCATGAAAATCACAATCACATTCATAGATTTTGCACAACATTTGATGCCACATAAAAGACACAGGGAGCACAAAGTCCAAGGTCACATGCCAGCAGGTCATTCCCCAGTTGCTTTAGTTAATCACACATGCCTATGTGGTACAAGATATACATTGGAGGATTGCTCATTCACTATTGTTGATTCTCCTTGTTAATAGTTTTATGTAAATGATACCCCAAAACAATACATTTCAGTGAAGTTAATACACTTATTGCATTTAATGAAATGATTATATGATGACGAATCAATGAAGTAATTCTTGTTGACCAATTTAATATGATCAAAAAAGCTTATTCAGATATTTACTTTGAATATATGTAAACATTTAAACATTCAGATATTCTCTCATTAATTTTTCTTTTCACTCAATCTTTTCTTGCTATATATTTGGGTTTGACTACAGACCCCAATTAATTTGGTATAAAGGTAATGTTCATGATGTTGCAATTGACATTTTCCTCTTATTAGTTATGTCATTTAACGTATTCTAAGTCAACTAATATAAATTACTAAATAAGTAATATAAATCAATTCAATTCATCTTTAATGTGTTCAAAACATGAAATTTGATTTGTAAGTCAACTCAAATCCCTTTTTTTGTAATGATTTGGAGCACCTAAATGAAATCAATTCAAATCATATAAAATTGTTTCCAATTTTTTATGATTCCAAAGATATCCCAAAGGAAATAACATTAATTACTAGGTTAGCTTAGTCCTTGTAAACTAAACCAGACATAAACAGCAATTGGGAAAAAGTTAACCTCTTTAACAACAAACCTGTGATTTGTTGAATAAGCTGCTCTTTCGATGAGCTGGAACCAGAAACATTTGATGATCCTGGCTCTTCTTGCACAATGGTATTCTGGTAAACATAAAACAGTTTAGTGTAAGTTCTTCGCTAACTAAGATATAAAAAATAAAAAGACTACCTAGGGTATAACTTTCTAATTTTATCAGCTTGGTACACATTTAATCTGATCACATCTGTTCAATAAATGTTAATTCATAAACCTGTAGATGGCAATCAATCTAGAATCTTCTTGATTCTAGTATTAAAAGATAGAACCCAATGGCGTCAATTGATCAACGTAGCCGCTCCACCTAATGGGATAAGGCTTGGTGGTGGTTATTGTTGTTGTAGATCATAGCAAAAGCATATCATTGCACAAGGATAATTATCCAAGGGAGAAATGGGAGTGCTCATGCAACCAGATATATGGATGCTTGCATTCGAGATTTCAAAAGAAAGACAGAGCAGGAAGAATATATCTTTCTTTTAGTCAATGCTATTTCAGTCACAAGGAACATTGATTCTGCTAGCTACAGACATGTCCCAGGATGAGGTAGTCTTGGATGAAAACTAGAGGGTTCAGTTAGACTCAAATATCCTTATGTTGAAAACTGTTATTTTCAAATTGAGACTGAAGCTATATTCTCTACCATTTTATCCAATATGCAATATGGTTAGGACAGATAACCGCTACCATCTACGTTCTTCTTTATTTTTTCAACGAGGTATAGATTACTGACTGGATATTTCACCAATGAAAGGAATTTTCCGATCTATTCAACCAATTGGAGGAGACAATAAATGAAATATGCATGATGATCACTTTACTCTTCTGCAACAGATTTTTCCACTCTTCTCCTTTCCTATTAGATTGCCACAGCATGCTATTTAAAAGACTAAAACAGTCAATTAATTCCAATGATGTATGAATCTGTGAGCAAGAATACGAAACTGAAGCCAGATAGACAAAGCAGAGGTATTGGGACAGAAAGAAGACTTGCAAATTGAGCAGGAATCTTTAATCTTTAATTTACATAAATGAAATTAACAGATTCCAAAAAACTAGCAAATTTGAAGACATAATGAATGTTACCACTCACCTTTTTACCATATTTGTGTACTTTCTAAAGATAAAATTGAATGGTCGGACCATCAAGTTTATCTTAACTAAATAGCCAAATCACATACAAAAGAGGAAAAGGGAATTGTCCAAAGAGTTAGCTATTGGGAGTACCCATACTAGAAATATTGAGATAGTAAAATATCTATTATTTTTTATGATCAGAGCAAACAGATCATTTCTGAAACGTTTTTAGTCTTGAAATTGAATTAAGAAAATCTAATTTGTTCAATTCTCTAACTGATACCTTCTTACCTGTTTTTTCAATTGAATTCGCAGCCATGAGACAATATTAAAATAAAATAAAAGTCCAATATCATTTTCATCAGTAAATGTCTGAATGATTCTAATTCCTAGCTCAATGAAATGGAATGCCAAATAAAAGAAGCCCTAAACGCATATCAAGAAGAGCAAAAACCTCATAAACTATCTTTGTACAAAAAAACATAAAAAACGAAGTTCAAAAAAGCATGGATATAATTATTTACTAGAAGCAATCAGGTTCCTACACTGTCCAGGATGCTTGCATCATCTGAAGGCACAGTTTGTTCACTCTTAGGTTTCGCATGCCGCGTTGAATTTTGAGGACCAGTTAGATTCTCACAATAAAGAGGAAGCGGAGTGACAAATGAACCGCTGCCTGAAAAGGCCAAAAAAAAATTGGTAAACTATGTCAGGTAAGTTTAAGATACAACTCATAACAGTACACTCTAGAATGCCAAAGACATGATTTTATCTTGTTTCCTTAAGATCACTCAACACTAGATAAAAATATGTTATCCAACATTTACCTGAGCATAGTCCCAAAAGTCTACGCCTTCTCAAGCTTACCATTGTTAGTTCCAATCTTCTTACCAAGGCATCAAAGCATAACGATCAACTTCTTGTGATACAAAACTTTCCTTTCAATTTAGGAGGCAGAGTAGCTATAATACAAATAGAACAGTTTCAGGCAGATGACAAAAATAAGTTAGACCTATAATGGGAGAAATCTGAATATCTGAATAATGGCAGAAGAATAATTTACAAACAATGGCAATGAATAATGGCAGAAGTCATCTCAGAACGATGACCATGACTACTTATCCTACACAAAGAAATGGTCTTTTCCTAGTTCTAGGACCACAAACAAGTATGTAATCATCAGAAGGCAACAGTAAAGAAGGAAAACATTGATTAAACATTCAGAACTAGATCTCAAATACAAGGTTTAGCTAAAAGTAGGTCCTTCTTTGACTTTTATACAGTACAAACATAGTGATCATGCCCTTCATGCTTAGACCACCTTGGCCTTACCAAACAAATAGATACAAATGCAGCGAAACATTGACAATGATACAATATCAACCACTCTTACTCAGGACAAGCCTATGTAAACAATCGTTCAAATCGGAAATCCAATTTGATCATAGCACAAGTGATCATCAACCCCTTCAAAACTGAAAGATGATAAACTATTTTCAATGAAAATAAATCATAAAAAATAAAAATTATATTATAGTATGCATAAGGAAATCATCCACAAAGCCAGAAGATTAAATGGAATCAAAATTTGGAAACAAAAATCACGCACATAAGCCAAGTCTTTCTCCTTGGCTGAAGTCAACCCCATCAACCTATCACCTTTCTTGGAAGGGGGTGATAACAGAGAAGACAAACCCATTAGACCAGACACAACACAAACCAAATACACATATTTATAACGAAATTCGAGACACACCCACAAAAGCCAACAAGAAAAAGACCAAGTCTTTAGCCTCCAAAGCAGTCAACTCAAAATGTCCATGACCAGAAAACTCATCACACACAAACAAAAGAGGGAAACAATGAAGGAACCTCATAACAAAAGTGAAAGAACAAGCCATTGTTGTTGGTAACGGTACCTTAAAAACTGAAAGGGTGAGATAAGGTGACACAGCAGAGGAGAGAAAAAATCCAAGTGGGGTGGTGAGAAATCTGAGGCAAAAGGCAAAAAGGGAATTATTATAGGAATTTTGGGGAATACAAGGTGGTAAGCGTGGTATGAGATAATGTGTGTGTTGTGTTGTGGCTCATGCATCTACCACCTTTTGTTTTTGTTTTTTGTTTTTCTATTTTTTTTATATTTTTTTTTCTATCCCATTCCTCTTGAAGTTGTGTTGTGTTTTTGTGTGTGTCTTTGTTTTGAAGAGAAGGGTGGTGGAAGCGATGGTATAATGGTTGTGGAGAGAGAAAGTCTTCTAGAGAGAGATGGTTGAAAAAGAGAATGGGAACGTAGCTACTAGCCGCTGAGTACTTTAATTTGGGTCAATGTCAATGCTGCCCTTTATAATGGCAGCAAATACCACTTTTGTCAGTTACATTAGAGGCATCGTTGCTTTACCATATTGCCCTTTGAGCTATTTGTATTATTTTGTATTATATTCAGCTTTTATTTTTTAATTTCTTTGACAGTAATTTGGTCGAGCTGGACAGATCATAAGAGCAATAAAGAAATTTCTACCAATTTTTTAACACACTTGTGTATTAATATTTGAACTCAAGAACACTAATTTAATTGAAATATTGATACATATGCTTAATGGTTATATTCAATTGTTTTGTATTTGAACCCGGGTTGGTGTTTACTGTTTCCGGATTTTTATTTTGTAATAATATTTCATCAGGTCAAATACAGTATAGGCTGGCCAATGCGTACTGGGCCGAATCACACACAGTTCATGGAGAAGGCCTGTGGGATGATCAGCTTTCTGGGCTTGAGGTTGTAGTTGATGATGTGAGGACTCTGGTTCTCTTTTGGCGCGGTGATTCAAACTGGGGTACCTGCGATAACACTCGGAGGCTCAAGTCAATATCAATGGCAGATGTATGTGTATTCTTACTGAATTAGATTGTCATACTGGGCATATACCCTCTGTTTATATAGTGATTCTGATGTTGCCTTGTGAAGGTGGTATGGCCTCTGATTGGCCGTTTAAGGGCTGCAGGTTCAGCTTGTGCCTTAATAGCCTTATCTCTTAATGCTAGGCTACTTTGATAGAGTAGTGACGAGCTGGTGTTGTCCTCTGTCTATTTGCTTAAGGGCACGGTGGACCTTTATTAGTTTCTATGTTGGCTTCCTTATCTCTGAAGGTATGTTAAAGGGCAGTTTCACGCACGATGGTGCTATCTCGCCAAGTTAATGCGCGATGTGATACATCGCGCCTTATACTGGGCTTTACGGGTTTTGGGCCTTGTCCTTATGTACGTGGACTTTTGATAAGCCTATCGTATTTTATCCAGATCAATATTAAATTTTAAATTCTAATTAAATTATAAAATATAAAAAATAAAGAAGTAATTTTTCAAAAGATAATATAAAATATTTTAAATTATGTTAAGATACAATTAAGATATTATAAAAAAATTTATATCATCTAACAAAATTCAAAACTCGCGGTAATGCTGTTAGGGAAAAAAAAGGAAGTGAAGATTATAAATTTTGTGAAATTTTGCACGTTACACAGATTTCTCACTGTAAGAGCTTAACAATGTATTTTTGTATTTGGATGACAAATTTAGGTTAACAATAAATTTGATTTGAGAAATTAAAGTTCTATTGTATATATTTTCAGGATATTAGTATTAGGGAGAGGTTATAGTTACTATTTTCTTTTCTTATTACTTATTACTATCAAATCTTAACAGTTGATTTTTGTCAATCTAACGGTTATAATTTATTAGAATTAATAATTAATTAATAAATGTAACCCAATAAATTATAACCGTTAGATGGACAGAAATCCACGGTTAAGATAATTGATAGTAACAAGTAGTGAAAAAAAATGTAGTAAGTATAACATTTCCCTTAATATTATTGTATTTTAGATTTGAGAATAGTTTAATAATCGTAGTATCCACTTCTATATAATTAACTAAAATTTAAAATCTTTAGAGTGAAATAATCTCTTTACCAAATTATATGAACTTTTGAGTCCGGTTTAGGTCTAACGCTATCTCATTTTCATGTCAAGCAACTCCTTTTCCATAGCTCCCCGTTTGGACAGAACCTCAGTGTTCATCTTGTTTAGCAATTCAAACAAATGTTTTAATTGTTTCTCCACATCTACATTTTCTTCCTTCTTTCCATATGCTTCTCCCTTCATCTTTTTTGCAATGGTTCCTTCTCTCTATAGCTTTCTAATTCTGTAGCAAACTTCTCTGTTTCCTCAGTGCACCAGTTGTACCCTTCCTTACTTCCAGGAATTCATCACAGATTACCCTTTCAATGTTGGAAATTTGTTGTACCAAGGCATTAACTCCTGCGCTCAATAGTGATTGTACTCCGGGAGAAAAAGAGCTCTCTGATATAGGTTTCTTTCCTCTTCCCACAGTTGTTTTCGAGATTGGTGGTTTCTTCATCTTCGTGGCTCTTTGGGGGGTTGTCATGGGGGTCCTTTCAGCAGCTTCTTCTACCATTTCTGTTTTCTCTTCTTCTGTTTTTCCATGATTATCCTCCCCTTCAGATCCTGCATACTCTCTCACCTTTGTCAATGTGCCTTAATCAATGTCAGCGCTCATAGGAATAGTTTTAGTGGCATCTGGGTGCATGCGACGCAACTCGGCTCGAGTGCAGAAGTCAGAGAGAAGACATGGAAAATGAAATTGACCTTTTCTTTTTATGTTGGCAACAAGCTGCTTGCATACCAAATCACATAGTCTAATCATACTTTCTGGTTACATATCCAGTCAGACATCAAATCATCATATCAAATCAAGTATCCATCAAACATCAAAACCATCAAGTCAAATATTGATATCAGTCAAACATCAAATCACCAGATCAAATAATGATATACATCACATATCCAAATCATCACATCAGATACATATACCAGTCAAACATCTAGACATCATATCAAATACTGATACTAGTCAAATATCAAGATCCATATATAATGGTATATAACATAATTGATATCATATCATATAACTGAAAATACGACATCTTGTAGTTAAAATCTCTATAGGGATAGTCCAAATACATATCTCTGTGGACATAGTCCCTCCAAAGTAAACCAGAGCCAACCGAGGACTGTATGCACCGATGGCATAACATAACTTAGCATACGATATCCCATAGTTAAAATCTCTACACGAATAGTCAAAATACATATCTATAAGAACATAAGTCCCTTCAAAGCCAACCGAGGAACGTATGCACCCATGCCAATAATACCCAGAGCCAACCGATGAACGGATGCACTCATGGCAATATCAAAATGTTCATTGGAATCAAACACATATAAGGCATCCCTCAAAGTAGTAACAATGGCATAACCTATTAATGTATATATATATATATATATATATATATATATATATATATATATATATGTATATATATATATATATATACATATGTATATATATATATATACATATATATATATATATACATATATATATATACACACACACACACACCTCAACACTTGTCTCATGACAAAGTACACAACTTATCCACTATTACGTAATTCATCAAACAGAATTATCACATCATCAGAAACATATCTTATTTATCATCAGAAGTTATCAGAACTTAAAAACTTATCAGAACATCATCAGATCATTATAACTTATCAGAACATCATAACTTATCAGCACATCGGAACATCAAAACTTATCATAAACACAAATCATATAGTCATATCTTCATATCCCATATGAATGCAACTATACTAGTGTCTAGCATACATCAATCACACATACATAAAAGCCATTATCTCATTGGATTATGGTGGAACAACATAATAGAAGAAAACTCCTTAAACTAAAAGCTTACCTGTAAAGATTTTCTGGTAAATAGCTTGATCTTCCAATATTACTTCTCTTGATTCCACTCTAAGATCATAATAAAGCACCATCAATCACCAAACACATTATAACAACCTTAATTCTCAAACTATGTGAAATTGTGAGTTAAGTGAGACAGTGTGTGAATCTGGTGACTGTTAAGAGAATTATGACAGTTGAATCATGAAACTATCATGATAATGGATGTAAGGATACAATTCATGTCTAACAAGTCAATTAGAACCTAAAAAGAACATAAGTTAGGTTTAGAGATATAACACCTCGTATTTCTAAATGTATAATTATATGTGATAATGTTGATTAAAAGGGTAGGATTAGTGAAAATCCTGAAATTAAAGCCAAAATATATAAAAAGGGCAAAATGGTAATTTACCAAACACGTATCCCTAGGCATGAAAAATTGAGTAGACGGTCTCAAATGATAAAAATAATATTGGAAATGGATTCAGGACGAAAAATTGAGTGGATAGGCAAGTTTCAGAAAATTTAATGAATAGTGACTTTATCGGTGTAAAATACTGAGGTATAATTGTACCGATAAGCGTGAAAATATGATCAGTATTTTTAGGAAGTAAAAATATGACGTGAATGAGAAAAATACTTAGGTTATGAATTTATGGGTTAAATTAGGTGATTTAATAAAGTTAATTTTCGAGTGGGACTCACCTATGGGTTTTAAGTGAATAAGTGACCCTTTTATTTAGAAAAATTTGATCCTCTCTCTCCTACTCTCTTCTTCCTCATCGTGAGTTTTCTCCATTTAAGGGCAATAGAGCTTTTTGAACTACAACTTTGATTTCTAGCCACTTTTAAGAAAAACTTCCAACTACAAAGTTGTTCCCCTTGAGATTGTGACTGACTTTCATGTAGAGTGCACCTTGTGGGAAGCTTTGTGGAGGGAGATAATGCCCTATTTCAGCCACGAATTTTGAAGGTTTTTGGGGCTTTTTGTGTTGAACCATTGGTTGGTGATCATCCCCTTGGATACTAGGAAGCTATTGGTGGTAAGATTTCTCACTCTCGTTGAGTTTTCTATGAGATCATAAAATTAGTAAGGGTTTGAAGTTATAAGTTGAGTTATGATAGTTAGGAACATTAAATGGTATGTCTCCTTTGGAATTAAATGTTTAGAATGATAAATGGTGATGATTGATGTAATAAAAGTTATTGTGAATTGGGAATTTTAACTTAGGCAATTTTGTGATGAGTTTTCAAGACTTTATGAAATGGCATGATGGGATAATTGAATTATAGAGCATTGGTATGAATTAATTATAGGATTAAAGGATGTGTATGAATGTTGAATTGAATTGAAAATGTTGGGGTTTGCTTCTTGAAGAATTCGAATTATAAGAAAAAGTAAGGAAAAATTGATGAGAAATTAT